GGTTTAATATACACATATCTGACAATGCTTAAATGCTTCTTCCTGGATCACTTTATAACGAATCACATACTGTAACAAAACCAGATAAATTCTGTGTTCTGATCAGATCTAAAAAATACTTGTTTTGTACTATGTTATATTTTAGCCTATAAGACTCAATGAACTATCTAGTTTTGATCTTACATCTCCCATATTATTATACTATTATTATTTGTTGCTTATGCCTTACTTATCTTTCTCTAAAACTACTTTTTTGCTTGACTCTCAATTTTTCTTATTCTATTTCCTAGAATTTTATATCTTATGAGTCCTATTTTGTTATATGAATGCTTATCTAGAAATTGTTCCTAAATTACATTTATTTTATGAAGCATCAGAAATTAGCATACATTGTTGCACCTATTACTTACAGCCTGTGTAAAATTAGTTTTAGTATACATTTTCTTCTTTCCTCCCATGTGACTGCAGTCATCCTATCAGTATCCACTGGCTTTTTGTTGTTGTTGTTGTTTACTTTTTGTTTCGTAGGGCAAACTTTATATTTTTGACAGAATTGTTTTTCCAAAAAGGATTAAATTGGCTATTAAAAAAATACAGCACTTACTGCCTTTGAAAGGTGGTCATGACAGGAAAGTTCACAATTGCCTTGGTCATGTATCCAGTCCAACAGCATCCTTTCCACCTAAGGCCTTGCCTTCAATTTAGATATGCCAGTTGTCATTTCACAACTTGTGATCTGTGGCCAATAAAGAAGAATCTTCAAAGGAAGTCACAATGTAGGAGGAAAGTTCACTGTTGCACTGAATCTCTTTTTCCACAAGATTTTTAGGGCACCCTTAAGTTATAGTCTCTCTTTCCCTTCTCTAACTGAATGCAAGTCTCCTAATTTGTAAATTTATGTGACCCTGCCCCCTCATTCACTTATCAGCCTGCCTTACTCAAGGATAATCAGGTGAATCTACAAGCCCTCTATATTGGGTCCATGCTGTGACCACTTGTGTCTTCGATCTGACCTTTATTAACTGCACCATGCTCTACTCGTGGTCCTAGCTTCTTATGTTACACCACTGACGTTTCTGAGGACTCTACTTGAGGAATTTTGTATTTCCCAGTAGCACTATCACTCCTATGCATAATCGCAGACTAATCTGTGTTTCCCTCACTCTGATATAACCTACTCTATATTTTTGGGAAAAAAATTAAGATGAAAGTTGTAATGTGTGTATAGATTTTCTTATTGTTAAAGTCTTTCTCTGGGTAGCTCAGTGAGACTTTGGAGGGAAAGAAGGGAAATTTGTTAAAAGCATCAGCTCAAATAGCCAAGTTGAAAAGAATGTCAAATTGCACTCTAGTATAGTGTTACAGTAAACCATATTATTAATACATTCCATGTGTTTTTTAAAAATTCAATGTTACATTCCTCCCGTAACCCAGAGCAGACTCCTCTACTTATTTTCTCTATAAAATTATGGTATATCTCATCTACTTTTCACCAAGGCATAAAAATTAACTGTTTAATATTTAATAACATCTACTAATATAAATAAAAATATATAATAAATTGGAAAAATATGGCGGGTTACCTGTATAGAGGTAAATATGTGAAAACCTCTTACATAGTAGGAAGACAACAGGCAATATATAAAACAAATACAAGATAAAGTGTGATTTAAACATGGAGAAAGCTATGGAGAAAAAAAAATCAGATAAACTAGCTGCAGTATTTGAAAGTTGTTGCTGCAGAACAGAACATGGGTAAGAGGAGAGTGGTGGGGAGAACTAAAGACTTTCATTATAATCCTCAAATGTAATTTGCCTTTTTAAATGAAACATACACATTACCTTGATAAGAGTAAAAATAAAATAAAACTTACAAGAATTCCATAAAAATAGTATTTACTGGTCCTTATAATTTAAAAAAATTTACAAAGGAGCTTTAAGTATAGACAGAGGACACCAGAAAATTGAAAACATTTAGGTTGTAAATATATCAGCCAAAGTATACTTATACGATGTGTAAGCCAGCTTAGGGCATACTCTTTAATTACTGTGACAAAGCTAAATATCTCTCCTACTCAAGAAAAACTATATAAAGTACACATGTAAGGATTTTCCTTTCAATCAGTGTCCAATTCTAATTATTTAGCGTTGTGATAATAAATTTTGCCCTAGACTATAAAGTGTTAACAGACACTACTTATATAGTAATTTAGTAAATGACTATATAGATGTTACCAGTATTTCTAAATTATAAAATCATTTTGAACACTAATAAAGCACTTCATTTCAGCTATTTTTTTCTGTTTTTATTCAGTGAAACAACACGGCATCACAGTTTAGAAATAGTTTAATCTCACCATAATTTAACATTTAAAAAAAATCTACTAATTTTTGATTTTCAACCATAAAATTTATAAAAATAATTTTACATTTATAAAATGAATTATTTCACAATAAATTATTCATTTCCATTACCTGAAAAAAAGTTGTATACTATATAAAAGCAGTAACTTTCCTTGTCAATATTTTGAAAACAGGTTTAAGACATTAGTTCTTCTTTGTCCAGCACTTTTGGCAGTTCAGTACATAAAAATATTATATTACAAATTCCTTGACTATAGATATTGAAACAAAATCATTACTAATAATTTATAAGACCTAGCCATTTAGTAAATATGTGTGGATAAATTAGAGAGATCACTAAAAGTGAATTTTGTTTTATATTTTAAATGTATTTACTATGATCTGAATGTTTGTGTCCCCAAAATTAATATGTGGAAACCTAGTCTCCAATATGATGGTATTAGGAGGAAGGGCCAATGGGAGGTGATTAGGTCATGAGGGTTAGTGCCTTTATAAAAAAGAACTCAGAGAGCTGTCTTTCTCCTTCTACATGTGAGGACATCATTAGCAAATGCAATCTATGAACCAGATAACAAATACGCTGACACCTTGATCTTGGAATTCCCAGCCTTGAGAACTTAGAAAAACACTTGCTATTAAAGGTTGCCCTGAGCTGGGCTCGGTGGCTCAGCCTGTAATCCCACACCTTGGAAGGCTGAGGTGAGTGGATTGCCTGAACCCGCAGGTTCGAGACCCGCCTGGGCAACTTGGTGGGATCTCATCTCTACAATAAATCAAAAAAATTAGCCGGGCGTGGTAGCGCGAGCTTGTAGTTCCAGCTCCTTGGAAGGCTGAGGCGGAAGGATCGCCGGAGCCCAGCAGGTCGAGGCTGTGGTGGCCGGGAGCGGCCACTGCACTCCAGTGTGGGCGACAGAGTGACTCCAACTCAAAAAAAATAAAAAATAAAATAAAATAAATAAAGCTTGCCCTGTTAATGGTATTTTGCTATAGCAGCTCAAATAGATTAAAATGGCATGGTTAAAATATCTTCTTAGACAAAAGCCCCAAAAAGTAAACAAAAATCTGCAACAGATATTTATATTTATAAAAAAATCAAAGATATTCTTATTTCATGAAATAAACACTACAGTAAAATTTCAAAAAATAAAAGTTTAAAAACTTCCCTTTCATGATATATTTTACATTTTCACAGAGGAACTAGCTCTTGAAGGAATTTTATTGATTCAATTAAACCAATGACAGTTTTTAAGTAATCATTTCTCCACTTTAAGAATTCAGTTTCACTTTAATAACCAATAAGTTAGGTAATGTTAACATAATATTTTTATCTGTAGGGTGAAAGTTACGCAATTATAATCTTAGAAATTATGAAAATTTCTGAAAAAAACATTTAATTTAATCTTTTACAGCTTGGGATTCTGTTTTTTATTATCATTGATAATTACTCAACCAGTGTTCCCAGTTTGCCCTCTTCTCAACCAGAGAGTCACGGCCTCATGATGTAACCCGTAATTAATTTGTTTTAAAATAAGCTCCAGCTTTAGTACATCAAATAGTTTAGGACTCCAATGAACTGTACTCCTCAGTGTAGAATTAGACATTTAATACATTTCTGTGCAGTTCTGGTACATGCTGGAATTTTGAAAGCCTTCTAAGTTAGTTATTTGGATTTTTTTTTGTTTTCATCAAGACCTATCTGGTGAATCTTTTATTTTCCTTACTGTTTTCAGGGGGTAAGCCTTGTTAAAAGTACAAAAGTAGTTTCTTATTCAGCAACAATTACACTCATCATTTACGTGTAAATATATATTATAGGCAATATGAAGGATAGTAACGAATCAGCATTCTTCTGCATATATTTAAAAACCACATTGTGAGTAAAAAGTTCACATTTCTCATTCTATACCAAAGATTTATTCTCATCAAAGTCATTCAGACCTGAGTTTGAATGTGGCTTTCTGACTCTTTAGCTTTATGAACTTTGGTTATGTTCCTGAAGCCCTCAAGCTAACAGTTTATTTATAAAAGAAGTATAATAACACTTTTTAAATAAATACTCTGACAGTATGGTTGTAAAGACTAAATAAGGCACATGTGTGGTAGATGGCTAATTCTTCCCTAGTATTGGCTCTCTCAGAGTGTCACAGCTTTGGTGAACACAGGCTTTCTCCACCTTAAGATGACTTTCTTGGCGACTTTGGGAACTAGCTGTGGGAATGTGCTAATTTCCAGTTAATGGATGGCTTTTTCTAGATTGTTTCAAGAGAGAGAAATAAATTTCTCTCTTAGTTGAGCAACTATTTAGGTCTTTTATATTTTGTTACATTTTACCCTGTATTCTAACTGATAAAACTAACATGTTTTATTTTAACATACATCTTCAAATATAGTCAGATTTCAAAAAAAATATCAAGTCACTCTTAAAATGGCCTTTTATAATTTTCTAAACTTATGATAGGCATATTTAACTGTGGACCAAAGAGCAGCTTCTTTGCCACAAAATGTCCATAAGTGATTCTTCTTCAAAGAAATATATACCCTATTCTATAGCAACTGCTTTATTTCTCTAATCTGCAAGTTTATAATTTATAAAAACCTTCATTCATTTTTATATTAGCTTGGGATTTCTGATTCAATATTCTCAGTTTTAAAAAAGGAACATTTAGTTCTGTATCACATCACAATAAAGCAATTATTTACAGACTTAAATTAACATTAAGAAAACCAATGAAAGTCATACATAAGATTCAACTGTTTCACAATGCAGGCGGAGCTGGAAAAAATACATTATATAAACATCTTCAAACAATGATATACACCATTGGTTGTATGTAAAAGTTTTACATAGTAGGAACAACAAACAAAACATATAAACAAGAAAACAGGCAGGACACCATCTTACTACAGCACCATGAAAAAGCCTTGGCTAAGAGTTTGCCAAACGTACTATCCTGAGATATTTTAAGACCAACAACTTTTCACATTTATGCAGTGCCGTTCAGAAGTAAACACATTTTCACAATTGCTTTTGTTTGGTGAGAGGCTGGTGTGCAATGACTGAAGCTTGGTTTGCAGCTATCTTGTACTGTTCTTGTCCAGAGCCTTGTGGTGGGGAAGGGAGTGGGGTTTCAGGAGTTGCTGAAAAAGAATCAGAGAATTGGATGTGATGATGCCATTCAACCTGCTCTACCTTGTTAGTTAAACCCTACACAACACCAATATATATTAGTAAAGTTTGGAAACATTTTTAAAAGATCATATATAAAGTTGTGATTTGTGGAATGCATTATTGGCCCTTGGAGAGACTATTAAAAAGCACTCTCATCCTGACTCCCCAAATAGCATTAAACATTAAAAGATCATGCTAAAAAAAATTTTCATAGTCACTTTAAGGTATTTTCTGCTTTTCTTAATAGCATTTTATAAGCATTTGATTGTCTAACAAGCCCAGCAGAAAAACGTTAGTGAAAGGAATTAACAGAATGCTAGTTTTTCAAATATTATAAAACAATCTTTATAATGTTGGCAATCAAAATTCACATAAAGTAAAAATAAGTTCAGTTTGGATACCACTAATTGAGACATATTAGATGACATAAAAAATTAAGGGTAGGATACTTTATAAATGTTTTGAAATCTAAGTTGTAGTCAAAAACATTTGAAAAATACTAGCTTTGTTGCTTCAAAATTATTCTATTACAATTGAGCTTGTCCCTTCCCCTTTGATGCAAAGAGCAAGGCTGAGTAATTGAATAGAAAATAATTGAATATAAAAAAATGGATTGAATATAAAAAAGTTATAGTTTGAATACTTCATTGTCTAGAATACTATTTCCTCCTATTGTAAATTTTAACCATATTATAAAATAATATGGGAGTTATTCTGTAATTTTTAAAAACTTGATATATTTTAGTACTCACACTTATTACTGTATTATTCCATATATTTAACACAACTAATGGAAAATATTTGATGATTAGACTGCGGCATTGTAAACTTTATAGCTTTCCTTCTCTAACAGTTTTTTAAAATTCTATACAAAAACAAAAACAATCTTATTTTGCTTGTTCTTTTATACATTAACTTTATATTATTGTTAAGTATGGATTAACAATTACTTAGAAATAATATTTTAAATGCAATTTAATTGAACAAGCAATATCAAATCTGCTTTTAAAGTATTTCTGAATATTTAGAATGGATCTAAAACTACAGTGATTTTCTCAAAAGGGCCAAAAAAATTGCATGAACTTGAATTTTTTATTGTATGTGTTTAATTGCTTGCTTTGCATAAAACATAAATGATTCCAAATGAACATGGCAAAGCCAAGCTTTCCTCTACAAGGAACTCTCATAAATGTTATGTTGAAAAATAAAGAATAAAAATTCAACATGTGATAGTGCAATTCTTAAAAGATTAAGGTCAGCAAATATGTTTTACAAATACTAGAACACTAGTCTTTAAAAAGTAAGGAATTGAACTGCAAACAGAATTGTCAAACTCTCTTGCCGGTTGATTTCTACAATGCTTACTATGTTGTTAAAGTGTTTTATTCTATGAGTCTATGAATAACTGATCTTTAAGAGGTATAAATCTGTAGACTTGCTGGATGGTATTGGGCTTGCCCTTGAGGCCAGTCTGGGCAAATTGACAAGACCTTGTCTCTACAATAAGTCAAAAAATTAGTCGGGCATGGTGGAAGGATTGAGGTGGAAGGATTGCCTGAACCCAGCAGGTCGAGGCTGCAGTGACTGTGAGCGTGCCACTGCGCTCCATCCTGGGCAACAGAGTGAGACTCCAACTCAAAAACAAACAAAAAGAAAATGACAACATTCACCCTGTAAGGATGGCCCCAAATAACGTCTTTCAAGTACTTTGGTACCCACAGATAAAATATGCCATTATCATTTCCATAATTTGTATTTTTTTCCTAACAATTTCATTTCTGCCTCTCTCATGTACTCAAAGAATTTTGTGTTTCAGACATTGACACAAAGGCCTACCAATGCTTGTATCTAAAGGACAGCATGAGTACATGCAGTGCTATGGCCTCTACCTTTCCTACCAGCTGGCAGTCAGATGGTACTCACTACATTATTATTGTATGGCATCAATCATTTGGATAAAGCAATACTGTAAGTAGTTAGTAAAGACTACAGTAAATTCTGGAGGTACTAAAAATATGCATAAAATTACATCACAATTGCAACCATATCAGTGAATTAACTGGTTTGGTGTTCAGATGCAATAGATCAGTGGTAAACCTGAGATTAATTAGTATAAATTTAGGAGCAATTAATCAATTACTTCTAGATGTTTTGCCAAATAATGGAGATTTTTATTACTAAAATAGTTTAGAAAAATAGAATTTGCATTAAGGTTGCAATAATATAAGATTAATTTAACTACTAACAAAAAGTATTTATATGGTCATTTGAGTTACAAAGAGTTTTCCTAGGCAGCCTTCTCCCAAAACAATTCTGATATGCACGAATCATGGTTTAGACAAATAGTACCAGTCTGGCAACAACATGGTTCAAATTTCAGTTACCATGGCAATTCACAATTAACTGTGAATAAACTCATAAAAACAAACTTCACTGCCAAATCTTCAGTTTCCAAACAACTACCTAAATAACAGATAGACTTTGTGATCAGTGACCGATCACGTCACAACTTTGCATGTGTCCCTGATTGGTCACTGAACATGACTTTAGTTCAGGCACAAACAATAAAGTGCATACAGTTGTTTGTTTCTTCCTTGTTTCCTAGTGGTAAATTCTTATGACCTTTTTACAAAAGTGGATAATTAAATAAGAATTGGCCAAGAAAGATGAAAGTGCAGAAAAGAAACTAAAAGTGGTCGTGCTGGAAGCAAAATTCAAATCGAGCATAAATGGAGTCAGAAGTAGCAGACCATGGAAATGTTGCTGCTACTACTGTCTGAGTCTCTAAACATGCAGCCAGGAATTTAGGGACAGCAGATGTGTCCACATGAATGGAGGAAACAATGTGATGAAAGGGAGAAGCTGTCGACACCCAAAAGAAGTTAAACCGGCAAAAAAATCTTCACATTAAATGAATTCTCACAGATATTTGAGAACATTGAAAGTACAAAGAATAAAATATTGAAACCGGACCCAGACTTCCAAAGGAGTGAAACTAACTCATCAGAGCACAGGAAAGATTTTTACTTCCTACTATAAGTTATAGAAAGCGGTAAGCACTGTTCAAACTGATCTTTATGATTTTTTTTTTCACAGCAATAAAACAATTTCTTTCTCAATATCCCTGATGTTTTAAATTACAGTGTACTAAATAATTATTAGGATAACTATTTTTAAACATTTCTCTATACAATTGCAATCTATGGTAGGAGTTTTTCATGTTTTGACAAACATTTCCAAAGGTCACAAGCAGGAAGTAAATTCCCCACTGAATATTAAGATTCCTTAGCATGGTTTCAGCTTGCATTGTCATTTTAATGGTCCCATACTACCATGCAAAGCTAAGACTACCTGTACATTCTTTTGTTATCCCAAAAACTATAAAGCAGAAAGATTTAAGTTCTCACATCTTCATTTTCGGATGCAAACTCATGCCTAGAGAGAATAAGTGACGAGATGAATATCACAACCTTCCCACAGGAAACTCTACCCAATTTTTGTCATTTCTGTGTACTAATAGATTTTTGACTCTAATTTCACTTTTTTTCAGGTGATTAAGGAATATAATGATGAAAATGTAGTCCAGATACTTACAAATCTGGTCTGTATGAATCAGTGTTGACATGGGACCTAAAAGTATAGTTTGTCCAGTTAATGGATCCTGAGATAAATGTGGATGCACTGGATGATGGAGATGACTACCATCATTGGAAGCACCTACAGTAGATAAAAAAAATTAGCTTGTGTTAGTGATATTTAATCAGAAACAGCAAGTTTACCTTGGAACAAATGGTTTGACTGGCAGCTTAAATATTGCTATATTTGCAAAGTGCTTTTTGGAAATTCAAAAATGAATTGATAGAACCACTGTCATATTAAGGACAACGTCAGCTTTCAGTGTACATTGGCTGGATTAATGTTGTATCATATTATGTTGTATATTAATAATGGACCTTGTGTGCCGTTTCCTGGAATCATTAAATTTGCTGCCTGTTGTTAAGGCAATTCCAAGAATCACTTACCTCAAGTTTATAGTATTTGGGATCACCCTAATAGCATGAACAACTTTTATTACAGAAAAATATCATTAGGAACACATTATGCACCAGAAAACTAAAAATAAATGCAATGATTGTACAAGGAAATTTAATTTACTTCAGAACACACACAAAAAATGATTTCTTAACTTATTTCTGACATTTAGTGCAGCAATGAAATCTCATTTTCCTTTCTAAGGTTTTGTGTCAATTAATTATTTCAGGGGCACAATGTTTATTTTTAAGCTATGTACTATAAATATATTTTAGGTTATGTTGCAATTCCAGTATCCTTGAGATTTTAAGGAAGTCAGAGTATGAAAAAACATAATATACTTCAAGAGGCACAAAAAAACAGGAAACACATTCCTATTTGCCATATTTGGAAAGAACCAAAAATTAAAGTCAGAGGGACCATGCGGAGTGAAGATGGTGGAAGCTGATAAGAATAGAGATTTAAATCTGAAAGAATTTTTGTCTCCCTCCAACAGTTTTGTAGACTTTTCTAAATGTAAAAAATTGAGTTTATTGTATCAGAGTAGAAGAAAACTAGAGGCAGGAATACACAACAACCTCAAATGATGAAATAAATATGGACCAAAAAAATGAAAAGATCAGGTTTTCTGCTCCTCCTGTTCGACAGACAGTCACATCTCTCATGCAGCACCAGCTGCCTCCCCAAGACACCATGGTGAAGGTGAAGGCCAGAGTAAATGAATTTGGCCATAATGGGCACCTGGCAAATAGGGCTGCTTTCAACTTTGGGAAAGTGGACATTGTCACCGTCAATGACACCTTTATTGACCTCAACTACATGGTCTACAACTCCAGTACGACTCCACGTACGGCAAATTCCATGGCATCCTGAAGACCGAGAATAGTAACCTTGTCATCAGTGAAAATCCCATCGCCAATTTCCAGGAGCGAGATTCCATCAAAATCAAATGGGAGTGACGCAGGTACGGACGTAGTGGAGTCCACCCACATCTTCACTACCTTAGAAGACTGGGATTCACTTACAGTGGAAAGTCAAAAGGGTCATCATCTCTGCCCCCTCGGCTGACGCCCCCATGTTTGTGATGGGTATGAACCACAAGAAATACCAGGACAATTGTCAGCAACACCTCCTGCACCACCAGCTGCTTAGCCCCCATAGACAAGGTCATCCATAATAACTTTGACATCGTAGAAGGACTCAGATTACCATTCATGCCCATGGATGACGCCTCTGGGAAGCTGTGGTCTGACAGCCACGGAGCCCTCCAGAACATCATACCTTTGCTGCCAAGGCCATGGACAAGGTGATCCCCAAGTTGAACGAAAAACTCAAGGCATGGCCGGCCATGTCCCCACTGCTAACTTGTCCACATGGACCTGCACTGCCTTCTGGAGACACCCGCCAAATATGATGACATCAGGAAGGTGATGAAGTGAGCATCCAAGGGCCCCCTCAAAGTTATCCTAAACTACACTGAGCACCATGTTGTGTCTTCTGACTTTAACAGTGACACTCACTCTTCCACTTTCGATGCTGGGGCTGGCATTGTCCTCAAGGGCCACTTTGGCAAGTTCATCTTTTGGTATGTCAATGAATTTGGCTACAGCAACAGGGTGGTAGACCTCATGGTCCACATGGTCTCCAAGAAGTAAGAGTCCCTGGACCATCAACCCCAATGAAAGCAGTAGAGGGAGAAAGAAATTCTCAGTTTCTGGGAAGTCCCTACCATACTTAGTCCCAGACCACACAGAGACTCTCCCCTCCTCACAGTGTCCATACCAGACCCCCTGAAGAATGGGGTGACCCAGGGAGTCCCACCTTGTCATGTATCATCAATAAAGTCTCCTGTACCCAGCTAAAATAAATAAATTAATTAATTAATAGATCAAATTTGCAAAGTACTTAGTGTGAATCTAATCAGTAAAACAGAAATTCTTAAATGTACTCACCACCCAGTAACATTTCCTGAAGTAGGTTGTCAATTTTAACCATTCCAAAAAGTTTAACAAACTGTATTTGCTCAATCATTTGCCAAGTAATGCTTTGAAGTGTGGGCAGGAGCAGAAGCAGTTCTCCAAACCTCCCCCGAGAGTCATATTGACGATCATTGATGTAGTCCTCCAAACTGATCTGCACTTGGAACCGCATGTTCTTAATTTTTACTGGGTCACTTAGCCCTTTTGCATCTAATGAAGGAACAGAAAGAGCAATCAGATGATTTCATCTAATTAGTGTGTAAGAGTACATATTCTAATACTAAAAAGTAGTTTAATTTTCATTACATTAATTCTTCACTTGAGTATTGAAAACAAACCTGGGTCAAAAAACACAATTGCCTTCAAACAAGCATACTCGTTGTCATCAATTTGGATTTCCTGAAATGGTCGAACCAGTTCGTCTAGAACCCTATTTGCCACACGGCTAATTTCAACTTCACAGCTGTTGCGGTGAATAACATAGTTGTTCCCTAGGAGAAAAATAAAATTAACCTCCTTCCCCACAAAATTATCAGACATTATTTAACATTTTACAAACCACTGCTTAAAATGAATACCCTTGAAGGAATAGTTGTAGTGCTTTCTCTCCCTGTGGTATTAAATTAGTTATGTTAGGAAAACTTAAAGGATCAATAACATTGATAACGTGATCACATGTTTTTTAACAGCCTCAGTCACTGGTGATAACGTGAAAGTACAGACTAAAAACAAGCTAATAATTGACAAGGGAAAATCAAAATATGATTAGTTTTTCTCTGTCAGTCATCTATTAGAGTTTTACTCATTAATGAAGTAAGACTAGTTATATGAACCCTAAAGAATTTTTCTTGCCTACAGTGGATTAAAAACAGTACTCCTTGGGATACTCCAGGTGTATGAAGGAGTAGAAACTATTGAGACACAGTTTTAATAAGTCTAGGTAAAGGAAGCTGATTTTTTAAAATTATCATGTCTGTTCTCATGAGTATATTTCCTCTTCCTGGTTTTATTTAGAGGTAAGGATAACCACTTTATGTGGCTGACTTTAAGAGAGTTCAGAAATTGGATACAAAGCTGAACTACTTAATCCTAAAGATATAATTTAGAGATTATCTGACAATAATAGGATGAATATTTATTATAGCTTCTAAAATAACAGCTAAACTGCTATTTTCTGGTTTTATAAAAAGCTTAATTTTTTCTTTAGAATGAATATTCTGAATTATTTCACTGCAATCTTCAGTGTAACATGCCCAGTTTGTAGCCTCTTTTTGTTCCTGTCTCTCCCTCACTCTCTCTCTCTTTTTTTTTCTTCCTTCACCTTTATTAAGGTATGATGGACAAAAAAGTATATTATTTAAGGTGTACAAGGTGCTGTTTTAATATACATTCACAATATATTCTTTCTCAATATATTTTACAATGTATAGCCACATTGTAAAATTATTATCATAGTCAAACTAATTGACATATCCATCACATATTACCTTTTTGTGTGTGCCTTACTTTTTCCTATGAAACATTAGCTTACCTAATTATTCAGGATAAAACAATTTAGAACTCTATAGTAGACATTTGTTTTCTAAGCATATTCTATTCAGATCTATAATGAGAAGATTATTTTAAGTGTTTACTAGAAATGCAAGAGTATCATGTAGTAGCATTGCAAAGCATAGTTTCCACAGTCATGTTATGTGGTTTAGAATCTCAGCTCTATCCTTTTTAAGCTTGTGACATTTGGTAAAATTTTTCTGCTTCCATTTCTTCATTAACAATATAGACTGAAAATAATAGTGCTTATTCCTCAGGGTTATTTCAAATATTAGATGAGTGTATGTGCGCACATGTAACATAATTAGAGCAGCGTATTTACATAGTAGGTCTTCAATAAATAATAGTTATTGTTATATTATGTTCAATTCATTTTTATTTGGGGCCAAAAGAGTGATCATAAAAACAAAATATTCCGTCATCATTTCACACAAGACTTATAGAGATAGTAAGTATTAGAAAGAACTCAATCCTCAAAACATAATTTTATTTATTTATTTATTTATTTATTTATTTATTTATTTATTCATTTATTTATTTATTTATGAGTTGGAGTCTCACTCTGTCGCCCAGACTGGAGTGCAGTGGCCACTCCCGGCCACCGCCGATCCTTCTGCCTCAGCCTTCCGAGTAGCTGGAACTACAGGCGTGTGCTACCACGCCCGGCTAAGTTTTTGATTTATTGTAGAGATGAGGTCTCACCAAGTTGCCCAGGCGGGTTTTGAACCCGTAGGCTCAGGCAATTCACTCACCTCAGTCTCCCAAGGCACGGGATTACAGGCTGAGCCACCGAGCCCAGCTAAACCTAATTTTATAAATTAAGTAAGATAGGAGGATTGGAACAATTATTTAATGAAGACAAAAGCTTTTCCTATGTGTCTTTTCCCAACTCTACCTGCTATTCTTCTTTTGTCTCTTCTAGCATGCCTATCAAAACTTTTTTAAGGCAATGCAACTAATTTTTAAAATTTGATTATTTGTAGCATATCATGGGCCATGAAATTACAGGAAATGAACATATTCCTTAAGACTGTATAAAATAATCATTAAGCAGATACTGAGAGAGTGTAAAAATACTTTGGGACTCCATAAGACAGCCGTATAAATCACGAATTCTTTGTCCTGGTATGGTACGTACCTTATTATTATGTTTATTGAACAACATCTCTTTTTTATTTTTAAATCTTAATGGCTCCTGATCATCTTATGTACTCTGAGCTTGCATGCAATCAAGACAAGAAAAATAGGACCAAGTGAGGACACAATTGAATCCAATCTGTGATGTGACAGAACCGTTTGATAGTGTCTGTAACTGCTTAACATGTACAGAATAGACCCTGCATATTACTGTAAGGATGAAGTATGTATGCATAATTTATTTTTAAATTTAAAAATTCTTACCCAAAAGCAAAATATCTTTATACATCATGGATCTCTTTGTAGCTCCAAGCAATAAATGTTCTCCTGCATGAGCTCTCAACAGTGCCACCTTAATGAAAAATTCAAAGTTTAGCAATTAATTATAAAATATAATGATAAAAGATGGTATAATATGAGTCTGATTAACTCACAGTGTTCTTTAAGTCTGGAATTTTTTTTGTTTTAACATATTATAATATTCCTAAAGATTTATGCCATCATTAAAACTTCTAGTTTCCTATCTTAGCCTGTCAGGAGAGTTTACTTTTCAAAATTTCTAAAGCCATCTAATAAGCAAATACAATGGTAGCAGCAAAAAGCATTTACTATCTATTTAACTCTGAGTGAGTTAACCAGTATGTTTTGGACTCATTCATTTGCTTTCATCTATAAAAATAAGGGCAGTAATAAAAAAAAATCTTAAAGTGTACTCATGAGGGCTAAATGATAAAATATATGTAAAACACAATCTGCTGCACATAATAAAAAAAAAGCAAAGCAAGAACTTATAGTGAAAAAAAGATGGAGGAATGGGTTCTGCCACTTTCTAGACTGAAACTCTACCTCCTTGCAGTAAGTGTTCAACTGAACTTCATTCATATACTCAATTACTTACGAGGCATCAGAACTAGGAAGTATAAGAAGCATTTTAAGTCTATCACACACCAAAGTAGTGCTTCTCTGATATCTTCATTTTAGTAAATGGTACAATCATCCAAAGTGTTTGTGCACATCAACACAAGAGTACATATTGAGTCCTCTTTAACTCTACAGCAAATTCTAATGTTGCTTGTCAAAATACAAATGGATAAATCCATTTCTATCCATCTCCATTGCTACTACCCCAGTCCAGACCCACGCCATTCATTACCTAGACTACTGAGATACATTCAACAGGTAATCCTGCTTCTTTTCTGGTTCTATCATTCTAAATTATTCTTGCCAGAGCTTCCACGATGATATTTGTACAATAATCACTTAATATCACCCTTCTGCTCAAAACTCTTCAACTGTTTTTTTTTTTTTTTTTTAATAGACCTTAGTCAAAAATCTAAACTCCTTAATCGTGACCTCACAGATAACAGGAGAAGTGGGGGAAGTTCATTGCTTTGCCTCCCAGGCCCCATGTCTCTGACTTCATCTTGCAACACCTCTTGTTCACATTGTTCCTGCCTGATTCAGACCTTTGGACATGCTGTTCCTGTACCTGGCGTGCTTTCTCCTCAGATCTTAGTGTGGTTGTGCCCTTATCATTCAGGGGATATCGTCTGTGATCCCCAATTTAAAGTACTTCTTACCATTCCACACCCAGAAACTCTACAACAGCTCATTTTATTCTATTTTATAGAACTTATCCCCACCTAGAATTAATTTTCTTATAAATGGTATATTTTATATTGTCTATCTCACCCAAATAGAATGCAAATTTATGAGAATAGTGAGGAAAACTGTATTTTTATCACTAAACACCCACAGTTCCTAAAACTTAACAGTAGTCTCCTTATAAATAGTCATTTGATGAATTTACTGAATGAATGTAAGAACTCTAGAGTTCAGTTTTAGAAACTGTAAAATTGAGATAGCATTTATGCCACATGCTCCTGAGAAAATTAAATAAAATGTAATTTATAATGTAACAACGGCTAATTCTGCAGTGCTTTTCCATTATAGACATTCACAAATCTGTGGCTATTAATGGTATACTGTTAGTATTAAAGGATCAGTTAACAAATAAAAACTATTTTCAATTGGTGACTGAATTTCAATTTTCCAATTTTTAAATCAATGTCTGCATACGTAAGTCAGCAACTTCGAAAAAAAGAGTTATAATAAAAATATAAAACTGATAAATAACATAACTCTACTTATATTGCTTGGGGTGAGACTGGTAAGTTTTAGCAATTTAGCATTATTCACTCTGGCATAACCTTCTGAGCCAAGCTATCTTTATGATATGTCAATAAGCATGATTCATACCAGGAAGGCAGTAACAGAATTTTAAGATGATTTCAGATTTCACAGTACTTTTTTTCTTTCCCTGTCACCAGGTGAAATGCTCCCATAGAAGTATAACTGCTAATTTCCTATGGTGATGGCTTTTTTAGTTGTGTAAATATTTTGCCTTTTGTACACAATTATGCCCTTTTCCATTGGATTGTTTCTTTGCTTCTGTGTATCAATGCTAAAGAACACTGATCAGATAATGCATAAATATACACTAGGAGTGACACTTGTGATTAATTCAATGTTAGAGAAAAGAAAATTTTCCGATTATTTTCATCTACAAAAAAATTATACACTACTTAGCAAGAAAGAGTTAGAATCTAAATAGCTTTGTGCAATTGCAGTAACATAGCCAATGAGGTTTATATGAGGCACGATTAGAAACAAAAAATTAATCCTCATAAACTAATTAGTAAATTTAAGTTCCTACTTATTAATTAAAATGTTTAATGTATGTATTACAAAATATGAAAATATAAGTATTAGGAAACGATCGCTATATCTGAATTTTAATTTTCTGTAATTTCAGATTACTACTTTAAAGAATTTTTTGCCAGACCTATAATTTTTATACAATTAATGGTAGAATAAAATGGACAACATGAAAGAAAAATGTCAATTGCATAAAGTGCGCGTCAAGACACCACCACATGCTGTGTGGATTCTTTCTAGGAGTGATCTTGTATTTCTAGAAAATATCATATGGCATCTTTGGCAAACATTAACACACAGTGCATCATTTGAATCACAAATATTCACTTTTCCAATATTCTGTCTTGCAATGGTAGTTACTTGTCTTTCCCCCTCATATAAGCTTTTTAAACTACAATAGGGCACAAGAATGTTTTGTCAATTCTTGTCCAATCAATGCATTTGCTAGACCCCTAAAATAGAAGTCAAACAGTCATGCCTCTTGATAGAACAAGAAGGTGAATGGATAAGGAAACGTAATCCTTTTCTCAGAAGTTAATCTATTCTTTGTCAAATATAGTAAAGTAGTATATGCTTTACAGATAGAATTGAAAGAATACAAAAAACTTAGCACAGTTCAGAAAGCATTTTTAGAGCATGCATAATTTTTTTTTGCATATACCTGATCATCCAATGGTAACTCACAGAAGGCAGGAATATATTTAGCCCATTCTACCAAGACTAAGAGCTGCTGTTTCATAGATTCACAGACATCACCAATACTTGCGATTTTCTTGACATTTATGTCAGTGCTTGCTCCAGGGCTTGAGACTTGGATCTGGCATTAAGAGGAACATCACATTAACATTCTCTTTTTTCTTTATGACTTATAAGTAAACACCATTGAAGCAGGTACTATCATTGTCACAGTAGTTTGAAAAAAACTCAACGTTTTTATTGAGAAATAAAATACCTCTCAGTTTACATGTTAAATTGGAAGCAGCATCTTATTTTACTGGCCAAATCTATAAACTAAATTACTCCAACTTTTGGTGAGTTTCATAACTCAAAATGACTACATAGAAAGATAGGTAATATTCAAATGAAATATGCTCTTTGACTTTATTTTTAATTAAAAGGTGATATTTTAACTAAGGCAGTTTGTGTATAATTAATTGAAGTTTATGAAGAAAACATTTCCAGCAGATAAAATACACTGAACTGGGGAGAAAATATTTAGACCAGAAGTCAGGGTGGCAGAGCTAAGGGGGTCTAGCTCAAGACAGAGACAGGAGCACAAGACTGTGGGACTGGTCTAGTGGTCTCTTCCATTCTATTTTAGCTGGAAATAACATATTATGTTACCAAAAGAAACCAAAAAAAACTATGTATCTTGTTACCTTAAATGGAAGCACATTAAAATAAAATTAAGAGACCAACACTTGACTCAGCAATGTTGAAGAGCTTAACATATATGATAAATTTTTAAGATTGCATATAATTTTAAATTATATAAAAATATAAGTTGTGTTAAAAGCTTTTCTATTGAAAAAAGTCTGTCAAAAAAGTTTATAAACTTAGTTCTTGAACATGCCTCTGTGTGCGTGTGCGTGTGTGTGTATGTGTGTGTGACTTTATGTGTATCTGGATTTTTCCTCATAGTTCCCCTTTAAGTCATTCTCCAAATGTTTTATTGAACCATCATGTAATCTTCAAGTAATGATGATAATGGCGATGTTAACCTCATCATATTACCCTTGTCTTATCAAAAATGAAAGTAATCACACTGACCCTGTATAAGAACTAATTAACTACTTGGGTCTTTCATAATTTGCTTTATAAAGAGAAATGTTATTAACTTTTCTAATAGAGGCAATGCTAAAATAAGCTTGTCTTCAATGATTTCTTTATTTGACTTGACTCTAAATGATTTATTCTTATATACACCTACTGATTTACTCTTGTGACATTAGAACTGATATTCTAGGAATTTAAAATAATACAGTTTTCTTTCTTCCCTGTTTTCTGGATACTGATTCTTCATTTAAATATCTGTTTCCAAAGCAAGTACCAAGGTGACTTTATGAATGCAGAAGTCATTTTCAAAGAAGAAGCTCTGATGACAAGTCTCAGACTCCCCAAAAGTTGTGGTAGTTGATTGCACAGATTCAATCAATAAAAAATACTTCCTTAAGAGCATTGTGCTATATGTTAAGCATTTTTCATCAGCCTTGGAAACAAACTTTCTTTTTCAGTTGAGGTCCCATCCTGTCACCCAAGTTCACAGTGGCAAAACCCCAGCTCACCACAGCCTCAATGTGCTGTCCTCAGGTGATCCTTCCACCTCAGCCTCCTGAGTAGTTGAGACTACCGACCACACCACCACACCTGGCTAATTTATTTTATTTTTTAAAGAGATGAGGTCTCCCTAAATTGTCTAGACTGATCTCAAACTCCTAGGCTCTAGCAATCCTCCTGGCTCAGCCTCCCAAAGTGCTGGGAATACAGTCATAATCTACTGAGCCTGGTCGGAAACAAACTTTTTTAAACCAATCTTAGATTAAAATTATATCATTTTTCCATTTAAAAGTAGAGTTTTGCTCAATAAAAGTCAAAATTCAGTCAGCAGCCCAACTAATTTATTCTAGTAATGGGTACATTTGAATGAACTTAGATTATTTTAACATTATGCCTAAATAGTCATTTGATTCCATTAAACAGAGATGAATGCGGGTGTGCAGTGGTACCTGGCGAGACCGAACTTCAGCTTGTGCCAGTGTATTAATGGAGGGGATGTTGCTGCCATCAAATGTGTTTCTTCTGGTGCTTATTCTATCACGTTCATTTTGCACAGCTAGGGGAGAAAATCACAGTATGTATTAGTTAGCTCTCCTTAGTATATATCAGGATATACAGTTTGAAGTTAAAAAAATACAAGAAATAAGAAAAGGTCTTTTAATAAGCCCTTGGTGAAGGAAAATAAGACTGAAGATGTTTTTCATTCTGTACCATCTTTCAAAAGCAGAAATAGCCGACTTGTCACTAGAGCTCATAAACTTTTGCTGTTTCAGACTTCATAATGCCGTGCATGTTAGAAAGTGTTGGGTCAGTCAGTTCTGCCACATTGTATTTTTGATATGATGGTTTTCTATCCTCTCAAACTTAATAAAGCTATAAGGTAATTAGGGAAAGAGTATTGCCTGCGAGATTGACCAGGTCAAAGATAGGAGTGTATTTCACTGACAGAAAATATGAGTCATAGATTTTGAAACTTCTACTTTCGTTTTCCTATAAAACATTCGCAAAAATGAAAATAAATTTATTTTAGTTAAGATGATTTTAAGATTGCAATGTTATGATCTCTTATAAAACATTATCTTTGAGACAGTTTACAAACACTAACAAAGCAAAAGTTGCCCCAGGCAGGGGTTTCTCTCGAGAAGATTGAAGTTTGAATACCAGCACTATGAAAAAGTGATGAAATCTTACATATTATATAGGTTTCTAAAAGAGAGCTAGATCCGCTTTCTTATTTCAGATTTAAAAAAAAAGAAAAATGTAAGTTCCCAAATCCCTTACTGAAAAGTAGTATGGACTCACATTTGTAATATAGAGAATAAAATCAGTCAGACTTCAGTTGGATTTCAAAACTTAGGAGGGAAAATTATCTTCCATTAACCAAAAAGAAGGAAAACAAGGCATATAGCTCCTAAATTATTTAGATTAGTGCTACAATCTGTTCTACTGGAAAAAATAAGGCATTAGAATATCTATCATTTTTCTTCTGCAATTATTCCTTTTAAAGAAATCTACCAATTTCTATGCCAAAATCTAGCAACAATGACCCAAAATTTACTATATATTATTAACTATATTATATTGGAAGAGAAATTTTAGGACTTCTTGCCTTTAAGAAAGCGTGAGTAATCTTTAAGTTGGAGTGAATCATTAATATTTTATTTTAAAATACTTACTGGTAACTTTCTTTTTCTTTTTTACAGAAATTGTTATTGATTTTTAACCTGAATGGATTCATTTGAAAATGCATACATGGAAATAAAAAATTAAGAAGTTAGCTATGAATTTTAACTTTTATGAATGTTATTTATATGACTAGTCTTTAGACAATGCTAAGGGAGCCGGGCTTGGTGGCTCAGCCTGTAATCCCGCGCCTTTGGGAGGCTGAGGTGAGTGGATTGCCTGAGCCCGAGGGTTCGAGACCCACCTGGGCAGCGAGAGCTCATCTCTACAATAAATCAAAAAAAACAGCCAGGAGTAGCGCATGCCTGTAATTCTGGCTACTTGGAAGGCTGAGGCAGAAGGATCGCCAGAGCCCAGCAGGCGAGGCTGCGGTGGCCGGGAGCGGCCACTGCACTCTAGTCTGGGCGACTGAGTGAGACTCCAACTCAAAAACAGAAAGAAAGAAAGAAAATGCTAAGGGATATTGTGAACATTTACAATCTTCTCACGACTATCATTTTTTACATGAAACTATGTTTATATTTGTTTCCATCTAGTTAATCTTATTACTATGCTATTGCAGTAAAGAGAAATATGTCAACTTTGAAACTCAAAAATTTTCTAATCTATTTCAGAAAATTGACACATTATTTCACAAACAGTAGAAGATATAATTCACTATTTTGAAAAATAATTTTATTCCACAAATTGTAAAACTTGGAAATGTGAGATTGTGATTTTCTTGCACTTTTGTAAGGGTAAAGATGGGGTTCAATACTAATCACACTAGGACAAGAGTAGGGATGGCAGACGCTGGGCACTTCTAGGGAAGAGAGAGATGGAGGAGGAAGGGAGGTACATGACAACACATGGGTACCTGGTCCACTACCAGGGGGATTGAGGTCCAGCCAGAAACCCACACTTTATCTGCATGCAGCCTACTTATATAGCAAACAACTTACTTGCACCCCACACCTCTCAAATGAATAAATAAAAAGATGGGGTTCAAGTAGAAATAGAGGAAAACAATTTGAAAAGTATTTACTAAATCCCATGAACTTTCAGATGGAGCTTTTTATGACATTAGAAATAAGTAATTTTTGAAATGAGAAAATGTTTCCCCTTTAATTTTGTGAGCTATATTTTTTCTCTTGAGACTAGCAATCTAAGAAGAACTAATGGAATTTTTGTATCTATAAAACATTGGATGATAAAGGAAAAACCAGCCGAGCTCGGTGGCTCAGCCAGTAATCTTACGCTTTGGGAGGCTGAGCTGAGTGGATTACCTGAGCTCGCGGGTTCGACACCCACCTGGGCAACTTGGCGAAACCTCATCTCTACAACAAATCAAAAAAAATTAGGCGGGCATGGTAGCGCGCGCCTGTAGTTCCAGCTATTTGGAAGGCTGAGGCAGAAGAATCGCCAGACCCCAGCAGGTCGAGACTGTGGTGCCCGGGAGCGGCCACTGCTCTCCAGTCTGGGCGACAGAATGAGACTCCAACTCAAAAAAAAAAAAAAGAAAAAAAGAGAAGAAAAGAAAAAAGGAGAAAAATCCTAGTTCAAGATGAGTTTGACAATTTTATACTTCTGTAATACAGCGATTTAAAAAAAACAATTTGTGAGAGTTGTAGGAAATATCTCTTTGTATATGATAAGCATTTGCATGCAGCAAAACTGGTGAGCATCAAATTCTATAGTTGCTATGCCCTGCCAAATATTTAGAATGTGTTCGACACAATTGTTTTTAAATTAACCATATTTATAATATAGGAAAAAATAATCTGATTACTTAATATATTCAAAATGAAATTGATACATTCTAAAACAGCACATCTAGTCTATTATTTCTGTTCCTCAACAGAATATAAACTCCTTGAAAGGGAGAATGATTTTGTCTGTTATGTTCACTATTGAAACTGTAGCACTTTGAATAGTGTTTAAAAAGTGGCAGTGTTCAATAAATATTCATTAAGTGAATGAAAAATAGATGCACAGCTAACATTCATAAACTCTAAGATATTCAATTGTTACTGAGAACAAAAAAGTATACATTTATAATTTTCAATAGGATATTGTAATGTTATTTAGACAATAATTTTGTTGCCAGGTACAATGTTGTGATGAAGAGAATGGTGTCTATAACCAGATAGTCACCAGAAAAAGACTGTCTCCACCACTTACTAGGTGAATGCCCTTGAGTTAAAGTCTAACTCCTGGTGCTGTTGATTCCTCATTAATATATTGAAAAAAATTTGAACTCATGTAAAAAGTTATTGTGATTAACGAGAATGTATATAATTAACGATAGTGAATGAACATAAAGTGTATATCACGTTTTTAAAAAATATTAATATCACTATTGTCATTATTACAATTACCTTCTTTTTTCATTCCTGCTCTAAAACACTTTCTTAATCGACAATATCTACATTGATTCCGTTTGTCCTTGTCAACAACACATTGCCGACTGAACCTATAACATCAAACAAAGATATATTAGTTTGCAGAAAACTATTATTTATTTTTTAAAAACCAAATAAGTAGACAAATGGGCTTTAAATAAGTATGGTCAAATTTGGTTTGAAAGATTGTATAAGAACAATTAACTATGATCTTCCCAGTCTCATGATCAGTATTTGCATGAAAATACAAGCCTCACCTCTCACGCAGTCTTTATCATAAAATAAAACTGAATCACTATCTCATTTTTTTTACTATCTCATTTTTGACCAGTGTGCATAACCATGTCTATCATGAGTCATGACAGCCACGCCTAGTTTTAAAAATCTTTGGCATATCCATTCTTGTTCCTTTTGCCAAATGACTTCAATGTGACGATGTATGCATCAGAACTTCATTTCCCTGCATTTTCATGCTTTTCTTTTTAAAAATACTCCTCTGTTAATTGTAAGCGTACCTCATATGATACTGAGATTTACTCTAAATGGCAAATTACATATCAAGAGGTCATTGAGGACGGCATTAAGAATACAGTCTCTGCACAATGAGATACCACTTCACACCCATCAGACTGGCTATAAATAAAAACACAGACAAAACAAGTGTTGGTGAGAATGTGGAAAAACTGGAACCATCATACATTGCTGGTCAGAACATTAAATAATTCAGTTGCCTTGGAAGATAGTTTGACAGTTTCTCAAAAAGTTAAAGTTACAGTGTAAAACAGCAATTCCAAGCTAGGAAATAAAAACGTGCCCACAAAAACACTTGTACACAAAAGTCCATAGCAGCATTATTCATAATAGCTAAAAAAAAAAAAAAAAAAAAAAGCAGTGACAACACAAATGCTTATCAATTGAAAGATGAGAAAACAAAATGCGGTATTTCCACGCAATGGAATATTATTATTTGTCAGTAAATAAAAATAAAGTACTGATAAATCATGCTACAATACGGATGAATCTTGAAAGCACTATTCTATTCTAAATGAAAGCAGTAAGACACAAAAGGCCACATATGATTTGATTTTGTTTATATAAAATGTCCAGAAGAGGGAAATCTAAAGAAACTGAAAACAGGCCAGTAGTTGCCTCACATTGTTGGGGAGGAATTTAGGGGAGGACTGAGGAGTAACTACTAAAGGTTTCTTTACAGAATGATAAAAATTCTAAATTGATTGTAGAGACCGTTGCACAATTCTGTAAACAGTGAAACTAACCTTATACTAAACTTCTAAACTATACTAACTTATAAACCCAAAAGTTAACTATTATAATAAACAAGAAAGAGGATAGTCGCTGAAATTAGGTCTGAGCTTGATTCACAGGTTGACCATTCACTCTCAGTAGAACTGGGGATATTAAATAACATTCATTTACAATTTTAAAATAAGAACTTTTGTCCTAAAAGTGAATGTACTTTTAAAAGTTTGAGGCAAATATTCAGTAGATAGCATACAACATTTATTTGACATTCTGGCACAATCTTACCCATAAGTATTTATAAATACCTGATTATTTGTAGTTGACTATTAATGATGACAATAAAGAAATATATTTTGTGACCTATAAAAAATACAGGTGAGCCGGGCTCGGTGACTCAGCCTGTAATCCCACGCCTTGGGAAGCTGAGGTGAGTGGATTGCCTGAGCCTGCGGGTTCAAGACCCGCCCGGGCAACTTGGCAAGACCTCATCTCTACAATAAATTTAAAAAAATTAGCCGGATGTGGTAGCGCGCGCCTGTAGTTCCAGCAACTTGGAAGGCTGAGGCGGAAGGATGGCCGGAGCACAGCAGGTCGAGGCTGCGGTGGCCGGGAGCGGCCACTGCACTCCAGTCTGGGCGACAGAGTGAGACTCCAACTCAAAAAAAAAAAAAAAAAAAAAATACAGGTGGCTGTTTAAAACTGAATGAGAAGTAAATAAATGAATTGAACTAGAAAAGAAATAGCCTTACAGAGTGAGGAGAAAGGCATTGCTCATTTGGGAAAGCATGGCTATGGAGACTTAAAAGAGGCGATCAGATTATCAAAAAATACAAGGAGAACATATCCAATTAACATTAAATTAATAACAAAAATGAATAATCATATATTATTAAGTATCTATGTTGTATAAGATCCTGGTGTAGACCTTGAGCAGATAAATAATAATTGTTTCCTCCATTCAAGAAAATTATAATCTAACAGAATACAAGTTTACAAATAGTCATTATGAAAAGTATACTATGAAAAGTACCGAAATAGCTATTAAAAGTGCTTTGGGAAGGAAAGCCCAGCTTCAGCGTGATGCAGCTGTTAGAGTGAAAATGAAGATTGTAAATCTAAGAAAATGAGTAAATTTGAAACCAGCAAAAACTGAACTTAAAAGAAAAAACAAATTTAGATGTCCCTAAACTTAGATCAGTATAATAACTCTTCTCCAAATGAGAAATCATAACATTTGCTTAATATCAAAATATGTAAAGAAAGCTAGGTTAATAGCAGCTTTCCCAATGGGAAGGTACAGGGAGTTAACTGTACTGTACAAGTTGCTATTATATTTTCTAAACTTCCAAAAGCTACTGTGGGAGCACTCATTTCCACTCATACAGGAAAGGTAGGAATCCTGATAGCTCTTTGTACTGGTATTCTCTGATCCTTAGAAGTTGTTTGATTTAGTTGTCTGAATTGCCATATGTTTATTTCATTTTTAACAGAATACATGATCTAGAAAGTGTTACTTACATGTTACTTTGTATTTGTTTTCATTGTTACTTTTTTAGGAGCATTCAATATTTAACATAATCATATAGAGAATATTTCTGATAAAAGTTGAGCTACTTTTTACCTCTAGAGTTTTGATATATATGAAAACAAAACTCATCTAAAAACCTTTTTTTGTTTACCAAGACTTTGTCACAGTGTGTGATTTGCATTTCTTTTAACCTACTGATTTGCATTTCTTTTTACCTATTTCAAACTATCCTGGAAAAATTGCTAGAGGACACCAGGTAGATAATTTAGAAATTATATATTAGCCAGGCTCGGTGGCTCAGCCTGTAATCCCGCGCCTTTGGGAGGGTGAGGTGAGGGGATTGCCTGAGCCCGCGGGTTCGAGACCCGCCTGGGCAGCGAGACCTCATCTCTACAATAAATCAAAAAATCCGCTGGGCGTGATTGCGCATGCCTGTAATTCCGGCTACTCGGAAGGCTGAGGCGGAAGAATCGCTGGAGCCCAGCAGGCGAGGCTGCGGTGCCCCGGAGCGGCCACTGCACTCCAGTCTGGGCGACAGAGTGAGACTCCAACTCAAACAAAACAAAACAAAAAGAAATTATATATTAATTTAAATTTTACCCCAAGAAATCACATGGCAATATTTTGAGAGCTTACGTCTTCTCAGATGTCCAATTTTTTCTTAAAACAATATAATTCTACATATACCTTTTACTGGCAGAGCAAACACAAATTGTTTTTCTGTTTAAAATTAATCATCTTTGTTAATAGCCCATATTCAACCTAGATATATACATTCAAGAACTATCATATTAATTAATCAAGGTGCAATATTTATATTTAAATTGTGCTATATTAACTAAATATTATTTTAAAGAACAAAATCAAGAAAACAACCTACTAGAAATATGTCACCTATTGATAATGTAGTTAGATAAGCTTTAGAAAAAACATTTATTAAATTAGAAAAAAATATGAGAAATACATTTTAAATTTTAGGATTAAAAACTAAATTTCACACATTAGCATTCACAAGCTACCAAAATGACCTACTTTTATAATTTTAGAAGATCCAGGATATAATGACCCGTGTAAAAAAAACAACAAGCAGAAAAATATACATATTGAAAAGCCTTTTAAATACAGATTCTAAAACGTTTAGAGGTATATGAACATGTGGTAAAACAATAAAGAAACACAAAGGAAAGATCAACACCCGAATTCTAGCAGACAAGGGAGAAAGAAAGTGGCAGGGGAGGTGCCCACTAGAGTTTCAACTATATTGATCTAAAGTGAGTAGTAGGTAGGTGGATTTTTATGTACCTTTTATAAGTCTAAACTGTTTCATAAAAAAGAACCACCTATGTGAATACATCCTGCACACATGCCCACACATGCTTACTTGTATCCCAGTTTATAGACTTACAGTCCTGTGAAAGCTCTGCATTTCCTTCTTGCGTGCCATATTGAGACACCTCTAAAGACAACTTTCTGAAAGGAGCATTTCAAATACCTGCAGGAATAGACGTGACTCTTGCGTATGCTGCGTCTGAAGAAGCCCTTGCACCCATCACAGCTCGACGCTCCGTAGTGTTTCCCTGTTGCCCTATCCCCACAAATAGCACATAGACAGTTGACACCACTGTCTGTGGTATTCATACTTGTCGTCTCTGGAGCAGAACTTTCTGTTCAAGAAAAAGGAAGAGTAGAAAGGAAGAGTTATTACTATTTCCTTATTAAATTGTCTTATTTACAGGTTCAAAACAGTTCATTCCTTGGCTATTTGAAGACTGCACACCAATGCTTTCCTTTTAACTACTGGTGACTTCCATTCCAAGCTCCCCTTTCATACTTCTGACCATTTAATTTTGCGACACCTTAGGACTCAGTCACCCAACTGTAGAAGTTCACTCAGTCCTGTAACATTAAATACCATGTGTGTGACATGGTTTTCGTGGGCATTAGTCTGAAATGCTCAAGTACCTATAAAAATACTTCACTTTGAAGTTCAGTAAGAATCACAAATTAATGTGTCAAAAACACGTACCTACAGGAATAAATGTGACTCTTTGATTTTTCCTGTAGAACTTGATCTTCCTTCAGTCATCTCTATATCAGCCAATGTTCCATCTAGTATCCTAGGGTTAATAACCTGGGAGAATTTGCTGTATTCTCTCCCTCATCTTTCATGACCAATCTATTAGCAAGTATACATTTAAAATATATAATTAATCCATAACTTTTCACCCTTTCACCATGGCCATGCTTTTTCAATCTATTATCATCTTTCTCCTGGATTATTGCAATAAACTCCTATCTAATGTCTCTTCTTCTATCATTGCTCCCTTACTGTTTATTTATTACCTAAAGGTCACCAAAGTGATCTGGGTAAAAGAAATTTACATCGTATCACCCTTCTGCATCCAACCCCGCCATAACTAGACACAGAAAAAAAGCCCATGTATCTTACTATGGCCAGTAAAGACCTGTGTGAGAAAGGTCTCCTCTTCTTCCTTCACCTCTCAGATCCCCATACCTAGTACCACTTTTCATCTGGTTCTCTAGTAACATTGTCTTATTTTTCTCAAAATCCATTGCCACCTCAGAATTTGTACACTTGCTGTTCCTTCTGACTGAAAGTAAAGTTCTCCAAACTTTTCTTTGAGCTAGCTATTGGATTTCTGTTCAAATCTCATAATCTCTGTGAAATCGTCTCTGAACACATATCAAAAAGAGTGACCTCTCATCTGCCCTTCAACCTAGAGTTCTGCTTATTTTTTTAAATAACTTTCATTGACAAAAATTATATATTGGTTTGCTCATTTATTATTCATATTTATACATAAAACATAAACTTCATGATGTCAAATAATTTATCTATCCTATTGACCCCCCTATATTCCAGATCTTAGGATTGTGCCCAGTATACAGTGTATCTAACATATAATTTTGAAGAGTCATTAAAAAATGTAAATATAATCAGCAAATATATATTAAATGAGTTGATATTATTGATTACACCTTTAAAAAAGTGTATGTAATCAAAAGATATTGAAAATATAATATATTTAAAGTTTAATTACCACAAAATTGTGTAATATAAACATAATACTCATTATTGTATCTGTAATAGAAAAAATGGTAAAATTAAAAGTTGTCATGTCCCAATTGCATTCTGTAACATTACATTATATTCTACCTACTAATACTTCTGAGTAGACAAATATTGTCATATATAATTTCATGAAGTTGGAAAAAAATTAATGGGTTCAAATAAGGTTAATATTCCTAAGGTTAGTCATATAAAATCATAGGTTTAAAATGCTACAAATTTTTCTTTTAGTAACATTTACAAAATAGATATTAACAATATGAAAATCAGAAGTGTTGGGAATTGATTGTGGTCTAGGAGATTACATGGAAATATAAAAAAACTCAAATTTTGCTTCATGTTTACATTCTTGAATATTTATATACTATTGACATTATTATAAGCTAACAAGTTAGACAATATTTTAGAAAAAGTCATAAATATTAGTTGTTTCAGTGTATTTGGTAAATATTTATGGTAAATGAGTATTATGATTATGGTAAATCTGTCCCTATCATTTATAAATCATGAGTTTTTTAAAAGTCATGATTATAATAAAATATATACTGTTAAATATCTCTAACCAAGTCTAAACTTAAGGAACCTAGACCATAACTTCCTAAGAATTGTACTGCAGGTTCATTTTAACTTTATTTGTGCTAAAACTTCACAATTCATCTTTTTGACAGTTCTTAAAAATTTCCCCACTAACAAACAATTGTTTTTTTTTGAAATATAACCAGAACACCAGTCATACAAAATATACAATACAGTAGAACATCAAGAGATCCTCATACAAGATGCATTCTCAATCCTGATTTACACATCCACAGACACACACACACACACATTTTTTGAAGTACATACAATTACTAGATGTTAGTAGTTTTCAAAGTCAATAGTAAATTGTGTTACATAAAGACACAAACCCTAAACAACTCATGTCTTATTTAAAGTTAAAATGTTACAGTAGATAAATACCTAGAGCTTTGCGGGGCTAAACATTAGCCTATCCTGTGAAGTTATAAACCTATTTCCTTTCATATTTGTGTTTCATGCAAAAACTTGATAGTAATTTTAAATGCAGTTTCTCATCAGCAGTTTCTCATCAGCAATTGGGAACTGGAATTATGAAAGGAATAAGCAATAGTAAAACTCCCAAGTGTTCTATGGAAACTTAGTTCCAGAAGTCATTTTAAATATTGCACAGAAAATATACTTTCACAGCTAATCTGCCAATATTACTTATTATTATGATTCAAAACAAATAAAATAACTGCTGAAACTACTCCTCCCTCTCTAACCACTCCATGACAGAATTCTGATGTTACATGATTACTCAAAACCAGACTTTTTCTACTTCTAATATAAAATAACCATAGCATTATTAATTTAAATTTTGTGATGAAATGCAAAAGCTCAGATTTGTGGCCTTAAAAAGCAAGTCTTGAATCCTCCAACAATAAAACATCAAGCCACCACCTCGGATAGCTCAGTTTTCCTTCTCCCATTATACTTACTTTTCTTTAAATTTATAAGCAGATGAGAACTCACCATTTGAATTATATAGAATCTGCATAGTTTCAAACTCCAAAGTTGTGTAAGTTGGGTCCAAAACTTCACTATAATTTGCCATATCCATGTCTAGTATTGGTTCCGATACCCTCATCATTGATTTAGAAACACACATTCAAGTGGCCTCGCAAGCCCAGAGTGTGTGAAGACTGCTTTGCTTTCAATCTGTGAGTGATAATCCAAAGTTAACTGAAACTAAGTGACTTAAGTGCTGCAGTGGGAGGGGTTGTAAAACTGTAACCTTCTTCAGCAGGTTATATTCTGCTTATTTCTTCTTTTTTTATGACATACGAAATCATTTCCTTGTGATAATCTTGGAATGCTTCATGGAGTCACCTTATCTGAAGTGCTTAGTGGACAAGTGTGATTTGCTAAATTGATTTCCAGTAGACAATAAATGATGTCATTAAGGGCAGGATTAAAAATAGAAAAGAGAATTTATCAGGTTTTAAGCTGCAATTAAAATATGAAGTATCCCATTTAAAGAGCTGAAATCACATATCTTATATTCTGAAAAATGGAACGTACTTTATTGTTATACATTTAATGAATCAAGACTATAAGTAAACACTTCACATGATCACTTAACAATTTCAAGTTTTCTTAAATGTACAATAACTCCTTTAGAGTAAAACAAATTTTGCAATTTGAAATGTGAGAATTTATGATATATTTCAACAGCATTCTGGACATAACCCTCGTGTGGTCTTCAACATATTCTCTTTAACTATCAATTCATGAATCTGTGTTTGTAAACTTCCCAAGAGCAGAACCAGTACAGTTGCTAATATAATGTAGGGATTTATTTAATAATTTTTATATAAATAAGGTTTCATTTCTTTTGTCTTCTGATGACTAGAACATTCTAGGCATTAAACTGAAGTAAAATTATTTCTAACATGTGGATCTACATATTCCTACCATTATCAACCTTTATCTATAAAGCACAGTATATTTTTTATATGTATGTGTAACAAGGAATATTTAGGGTTTGGGACATATTTAGATGGAATGAGTACAATTAACTTCTGAGAATGTCTATTGATTTTGTCTTCAAAGAATTAATCCTAACCCTATTTACATTATGAATTTAGAATTTCCTTTTCTATATTTGTTAAATATTACAGCAAAGTAATATTTCTTCATCAATTCCTTAATACCATAAACCTTCTAAGTACCGTATCTTAGAAATTATTATATTTTCTACCTGGGAAGGTTGGCCCCCTAAAATACTTAAACCACATGATAAACTGTAAAAAAAAAATTAGAGAGTAATTTTAGCAGCCAGATTTACTAATTAGTGAATTCACTAAACAGTGATCATTGGAATGGTCCTCTTTGCCCTCATATTCTGTATACTCTTACTTGTAAGAATAGTATTTGGGGATACTTTTTTTCTGATTTCCTTTAATGGAAATCAAACACAGTTACTCCGTTTTTGGAGAAGTGGACAAGTGAATCCTGTGGTTTTCATTTGCATGAAATGGCTCTTAACTTGAAGTAGTGAAGATGTGTTTCCTATGTGAACGATTGTGCATAGCCCATAATCTTTCTCATCTATGTGGTAACTAACCAATAATAAGGGTGTCAATGATGGGAGTGTCTCAACAGAAGGAATAAAGGAAAAAATACATATAGCAAAATGTTAATTTGTATCTGCAAAACATTAATGTGGATATCACTCAGGAGAACAATGTTGTTGTTCACCATTCTGTTCCTATAGCTGACATCACTATCAGATCAGGGCATTCTACTCTAAGATAAAAGGGGCTGCAGACTCATCTCAGCACGGATCTTCCAGTAGCCATTAGCAATTAATCAGAGCTGGCTTTCAACATGAAACCTGTTTCCCTTATGTTACTGCAAATTACTTTCTTCATTTCATAGACCAAAATTTCAGAGAGTAAAAATTTGAGAACTTCCAGAAGATATGGCAGATTTAAATAAGAGTCTTATCTCCTGAATTGGGCAGCTACTCTTCCTTATGATAGATGTGGAAACACTCACAAAATTCAGTCAACCTCAGACAAGTAAAAGAAGGAGTACGAAGTACAATGAAAGCCCTCCTAAATTATGGGACTTATAATTTACTTAGCTGATCAAGCAAATAAAATGCTTAAATGGAGATTCACAAAATGGTATATCCTTTCTTAATAGCTTATTTGACGTAAGTAGATGTAAGTGCTACTATTTTGTTGTAAAACCAAGACTCTTTTTGTGAGTAAGAAGCCACAGATTGAGCTTCTTTATAATTTTTTTGCATAACTTTCATAAATCATCTTTCTAGTACTATTTTTATGGAGAAAAAAGTTAAAGCTACCCATAAAGCAATCTGAATGCCGAAGCCTTTTAGAATTTTACTGTTTTTTTATTTTTTTTTATAAATATTTTGCCTAACTTACTTTTATATGCTTCCAAAACTTTGATTTTTATGGGGAAGAAAAAATAAAATTCAAAATGCTCATGTTGCATTACATAGTACAATATTAAACTAAATTGTAAAATGAAATAACAAGAATAAATGGCAATAACATGCTAGGTAACAAATCTATGTGACTCTTGGTAAGCATCTTAAGTTGATGAGATGTACTGACCCTAGAAACTAATTTGTATGGTCTACAAAGGAAATTAGGAAACTGAGTTGATCCCAGGAGTTGGTTAAGTGGAGCTTACAGTTTCTATTATATTGATTTTAACTTGAGATAACTTGTATTTATGAATTAGCTTATATTACTCTTTATTATCAATCCCTACTCTCTACTTCTAAAACAAATTAGAATATACGTATAATATTTCAATTTGTTTAGAGAAGAGTAGAATAAAGAGGGAAGACGAAGAAGACAAGAGAGGAGGAAAAGAAAAAATGTCACAGAGAAACAATTTTAGCTAGTGCTAACTTTAAATTTTTACTTTTGCAACATAATCCAAGCAAGTGGCACACTCTTAATACTAATTCTGTGTTCTCCATTCAATAGTAATTGTGGAGTTTTCATAATTTAGGGGACTAGTCTAGGGCATAACAGAACAAAATAAAATTATAAAATTAAATTGCATAAACCTTAGATACATGAAGCAGTTATGGTGTTTGTTTATATATTTTCACATTAAAATTCAATTAATTTCAGGAAAAGAACAGATGGATATCAGTCAAGCAGACTTTCGCGGTAGCTTAAAGTATTTCCAATGAGTAAATTCATTAAGGCTATATTAGATTAAGGGCTTAAGTAATTAAAATAAATAGTATATTAATTTTATGCCTAGGTGATAATAGAAACAATTGTCTTTAAATTAGTGGGACTAAAGTTACTAAAGTCCACATTCACCATAAATGTATGGATACTTTTAAGTTTACTTCTGAAGGTTTAATTGGAAAAAAATCAGCTATACATGCTAATACATAAAACAGTAATTCACAATAAGTAGCACACAGTTTTAAAGAAGAAATATCAACTTAATCTATATCCAAAATTATGAATGCATATGATAAACTACAAGCTACTGAAAAATCTCTAACAGATGTCATTCATTTTCCAGTATCTCATCTCAAAATTGAGCAAAATATTCCTATTATATAGTGTGATCTCATATTTTGTAGGCTAAGACATCTTAGCCTGAGTCAAATCAAACACTCCAGAGAGATGACAACATTATTTGTAGATAAAAGGTCAATTTTAAACAACATAAGTAATGATCTTGAAAAATGTTTTTTTCAGAGCAATGGTTCTAAACGGGCATATTGTATATGATATTTAAATTTCTATAGAGCAACATAACAAGAGATGAAAACAACATACTGTTTAAAGAAGACAACAACTCAATTCACTATTGATTATTCAAGATAATAGCAGAAACATTTCTATCTTATCTGTAAGACTATTAAGCCTGTTAAATTGTTCTATACGCTATATTTGATTTAATCACTCGTTCATAGCGTGATTTAAAATAGAAAACAGGCTAATAAAACTAAGAATATTTTCATTAAAAAATTTTCAGGAAAATAATTTGAAACGCTAATACCAATATAAAAGCATTTTATTTTAAGGTATAGTTAATAAAAGATTTTATCTTAATTTATCCCTTTGAGATTGCTTTTTAATACCCAAAAAACTTACATATTAATTCCAAAAGCATATCTGCATTTTTTGTTATTTTAATATTCTACATTACAGACATGATGATTACACAGATATGATCATTAAAAGTTAGATGAAGAAGAATAGAAATCTAAAGCAACCCAATGTATTTTTTAGTGTAAATGGGAAACTACTGAGTGTAGAACTCTACCCAACAAAATGGCTCATTAATTTTAAAAAAAAGTCACCTTTCACTTTTCAAATAAAATCTTAATTTAAAAAAAAATGCATTTTCTTGCCACCAGTATCTTAACCTAGCCATCTTTCCTCTTTTGAAATAGAAATCTTGTTTCTTCTTCCAAATTTTGATGAGAGAACAAGCAATTAAAAATTACAAGCAAAAGCAAGTCACCATCACTGATATACAAAGAAGTTTGAAATTGCCTGTAATGATGGAAATCTATTTTCAAAGAGCTTCATAAATCTTATCCTAAAACCTAGATGGTGTATATAATTTTTAAATAAACAACAATTTTTTTTCCCCTTATTCTTCAATCTAGATCTATGCGATGGCAAGCAGAATCACATTAATTCATTAAGACAGTTGGACCAAAGTTATTCCCAACATTTAAAAAAATTATATCTTTAATATTATTTGTGAAACATATTCTTTGTCCTAGAATTGTTGAAAATTTCTTAAATTTCAACTGAACTTCTATAGCTTCGCTTGCATGCTTAAGTTCCACAGTCCATTTCTCAGTTCATATTGATTTTCAATGCACAAAACTTAATCCAAGGAACCAATTTTAAATCCTTATCACATCACTACTAGAAAATACCATTTGATAGTAAAATCTAAATAAAGTGGAAAAAGACACACAAGCACCTTGTGAAATAGCTGAATTAATTTAGAAGATGCTACTATTCTTTCTAACATTGTGACTTACCTCAACTATTCATACTTATTTTATTTGCTCATTAAAACATTAGATTATTTTTTAAAACTAAGTATGCACGTAAATGTAAAATCCAAAACTAAACAATAGAAGAAACTACAGCATAATTAAATCAGTTACTGTTAGAATAGAATAGACAAAATGAGGATTGC